AAGAAATAAAATTAGTTTCTTTTTTATTACATAATTTTACAAGTCATTTAATTCATCAAACTATGTCTGAAAAGTTAAAATGTTGACAGTATCTGAATGAATACCCAGAAGCTAACATATTAAGTAAAAGTTAAGGTCTCTAATACTAACGTTTAAGAAATTCAATTGTGGGCTGAGGATGTGGCTCAAGCGGTAGCGCAATCACCTGGCATGTGTGCAGCCAGGGTTCGATCCTCAGCACCACATACAAACAAAGATGTTGTGTCCAACGAAAAACTAAAAAAAAAAAAAGTAAATAAATATTTAAAAAAATTCGACTGTTTTACTCTTCCTTGAAAAAAGGTTTTAAAAGATTTTATTTAAATATTTATTTTTCAGCAAACAACAACATCTTTGTTTGTATGTGGTGCTGAGGATTGAACCCGGGCCGCATGCATGCCCCAAAGATTTTAAATATAATTACAATTATGTAGTTGTATGTTACAAATTTACATATTAATAATGTTACCACTTAATAAAAGGATTTTGAACAGAAATAGTTAAAGTCCTAATAGTTTTAAAATTTTAATTTAAAAGTTTAACCATTCTTATTCTGCATTGACAAAAAGTAAGCTTATATGACTTCTTTTTTTAGTGCTCCTTTAATGTATAGAGTAAATGCAAAAATACATGCAGTATATAAAAATATTGAATATTCATGAAATTATGATGTCATTAGGGGACACTAGAGGGGAAAGATATCTAAGAAGATTCTGGTGGGGTGGAAGAATAAACAAAAAAAATTTTTTTAAATATCGAAATCAACTCAGATACTCCAAAGAGCTAAGGCCATAAAGATGAAGAGATCTCCTTGGCTATTCTGTAGATAAATTTTTTTCATCTTAAAAATTAGACATCACACTCATCTAATATAAAACTTAAAACTACGAAAGGGTATCTAAAAATAAGTAAACTTTGATCTACTCTTGTGCCCCATCCTTCCAATATGCTTCTCTGGAGGCGACCAATATTTTCTGCCTCTTTTGTGTCCTTCTAGAGAATTTGTGGCATTTCCAAGCATGTGAAAGTTAAAAGTAAAATTTTAAGGCAACAACATGGATACTGTTTGATCCAGGAAACTTTACAGCACAAATCCAGCGCATGAAAAGGGACAACAGCAGCACATGCAAACAGAACTCAGGTTTTAGCTGAGAGAAAACCTCAGTGTGAGTCAGCTGTGAAGTGGCTTTCAGCAAAGCTGAGGTGGGTCTGGGCTACATCTGCAGACATTTAGTGTCTAAAGAAACAATTGCCAATGATGCCTCTGTGCTGGGCACTGGGGATGCAGCAGGGACCTGACATAATCAGGTCATAGACCGAATCTTTTGCAAGACAAGGGAAGTAATGGAGTCAGCTCATCCTGCTCTGCATTGCCCCGACCCCACTGGAATCCTGCATCCTTCTCTGGCCAGCTCCCTTCAACAGGAGCATTGAACAAGCAATGGGAGCTTGTGCAGGGGGTTTGAGCAGAGCTCAGGACCTGATGCTCAGGACACATGAGGAAAGCAGCAGAAGTTGAATATGTTTATTTAGAGAAGCCAGAGATGGGAGCACTTAGGGAGGACAGAACAGCTGTCTTCAAGCACATGAGGATGGCCATGTGGAAGAGGCTTGGTTTACTCTTTCTGGTGCCAGAAGGCAGGTCTGCTGCCCACTGCTGCCAGTGGGTAGAAGTTAAAGCTATATCCCGTCAGTGGAAGAAAGAGCCCTTGAATGATTAGACTTGTGTGAAAGTCCCAGATGACGAGCTTCCACAGCCTGTAAGGGAAGGAAGTGGAGACTAGTCAATGGTTTGAGGAGAGAATTTTCAAACTGGGTTTAGCATTGATTGTAAGTTTCTAAGAATCTACTTTCAGGAGCTCTTTATGGGGTGGGTGGGGGGTCTTCATATATGCCAGATTCTGTGAAATGTAAATGAAAGTTGGTGCTAAACAAAAAAAGTCTTCTTCAGGGTGGGAGGGTGATGTCAGACCTGAGTGTATTGAGGTGAACTTGAGCCTGGACACTTTGACTATTGGCTTTATGCAATAGTTGCTTTCTTGTTTAAAGATGAAGAAATCTTTTTTAGCTCTAAGTCAGTTAGTAAACAATTCCAAAGAAACTATATTCCCCTTAGAGTCTGAGTATTGAAAATACTTGGAAAAATGAATAGTCAATAGCTAATAAAGGTTTTTCTGAATACACACCTATCATTCCTGTGAAGTCTTTCTGGCTCAGTTGAGCCTTTCCGCAAATGTACATCACCTAAAAGGAGAGATTTGTAGCCCAGACACAATGCTAGGGCTATTTCCACTCTAGGTTTAGATGTTTAAAGGAGACTCTTTTCCTAAAGACATGTATTTTTGGAATGTTTAAGAAACACATTGTTTTTATCCAAGTATGGTGGCACACAACTGTAATCCCAGTGGCTCAGGAGGCTGAGGCAGGAGGATGGTGAGTTCAAAGCCAGCCCCAGCAAAAGTGAGGTGCTCAGTGAGACCTTGTGTCCAAATAAATTACAAAATAGGGCTGGGGATATTGCTCAGTGGTCAAGTGCCCCTGAGTTCAATTCCTGATACCCAAAAGAAAAAGAAAGAAGGGAAAAGAAAGAAACATATTAGTTTTAAAATATTGACTATAACTTAGGGCTAGTGGTGGAAGGGCTTACCTAGCATGGATGAGGCCTGGGTTTAAACCCTAACACAGCAAAGAAAATTGATCATGTTTCAATTTGTGTACCAGAAAGAAGAGTTGGAAATACCTAGGCTCATATCCCAGCTCTGCCAAGGTTCTTTGGTATTGATTAGTCATTCAGTTTCGGAGTCCTTTCTATGTTTCAGTCTCATTGTTAGGCACTGGGGCTTATAAAGAAACAAGATAGGGTCCCAACCTTGATGGAATTTATAATCTAGTTGGGATAAATTAATCTCTGTTAACCTCAGTTTCATTTTTCAAAACAGTGAGATAATAATACTATTTCATAAGGTTCTTGTGAGGGTTTTAATAAGGTAGAAGTGAAGCACATAGATGTCATTAAAAATGGTAAGTAATTCAGACTAATAACTCTTTTGCCCTAGGCAGGAGAAATTTAAAGAAATTATTGGGAGGGTAATGTATATTTTCTGCTCTAAAGTCCATCTGTTAAAAATTTTTGTGATAACTATAATTGACATTTATTTAGTACTAGTTACATGCAAGATGTTTCTGTGAGTGATTTACATATTTTAACTCATCTTTCTTGATATCAACAATCCTGTGAGAGAGTTAATTACTAATCACTTTTCTAGTTCTGGACAATTAAGGCACTTAACTCATGGGATATGCTCACAGCTGTGTGGTGGAGCTGGAATTTGAACTTTGGCAGTCACCAGAACTGGTACTTAACAAGACTGAATTTAAAAAGTGCTTAATTAAACAGTATACTAGGTTCTTGATTTCAAGTATCCTGATGTAAAATCAGAAATGTAAAATTAAGTAACAACTTTTTTGCTATTTTAAATCTATAATACATACTTCAATAAATAAAGCACAAAGGAAGTAAACCACGGTGACTCTACAGGTTCAGATAGACAGTGGCTATCATCCCCTGTAGCACAAATAAACTATTCATCAGCTTAGTACTGTACCATTTTCACAGTGTTTAATAGAATGTAACTGTGAAGAAAAAAACAATCTTGGGTGAACTACTAGATTCTGCTCAGATGACAGCTCAGACATTTCATTCTGTTTTTGCAAGGGAAGATTTCAAGTAAGACAAGATGTAGTAGAAATATAACAAAGTTTATTGGAATAGGAAAAGATAGTTTATTAGAAGAGAAAGAAGGTAAGAAGCATAAGAGAAAGGGGGTGGGGAGAGAGAGGCCTGGGTAGTGGGTCATCTCTGAGAGGGGAATGACAACTCCCTTTTTGGTGTCTCAGCTTTAAGAGGTATTATTGCATAGATATTATTGCATAGATCTCATTCATGTATCTAAGTGAATGCAACAAGTATGAAAACTTACAACAAGACTAAATAATATACCAAGGACCCAAAGACAACTATTTATGTTGGTGTGTGCGGATTGGTTTTTGTCTGGAAATTGTTTTTAGAGATTTTATGGTAGTTTTAGACCAGGGCAATCTGTCCTTACATATCAGAGGAGGAGTCTTGGGTAGTAACTTCTCTCCCCTTGTAAGGGTAAAAGAAATTGAAGTTAAAGCGTAAAAGTTAAAGAGTAAAAGACCGGGTGTTGTAAAGTTTCTAAGCTGCAAGGTCTGAGTTAAATTTCTGTAGCTGTTAAGACAATGCTTGGAACTGCCCAGTAATAAGGGCTCTGTGTGGTCGCACATAGGCATTGCAGGGCCTGGACCAATCAGTTTAAATGTAACCCCCTCCTTAGGAATGACCTATCACTACAGCCTGACCTGTTCCCGCCAGTGAATGAACCAATCATGTTTAGGAGTTGTTGTTCAATTTTCCCGCGCCTAATGATGATTTGTTCTGATGTATACAAAGCCCTCCGCCCTCCCCAAAAAGTGTACTTAAGCAGTGCTCAGCCCCTGCTCGGGGCTCTGGCTGCTTTCCCTTCTTGAGTGGGCACGGAGCCCCAGCATGTGGTTCAATAAATCCCCCTTCTGCCAATTGCATGAGTGGTCACTTGGTGGTCTCTTTCTCCGACGTTTCGCGGGACCCTTACACCCTGAGAATAATATGTTGTTTGGGCTATTATCTTATGTCAGAACAGTGCCAGGATGACTTTCTGTAAGTTGCTCCTTTGAAATACATATTGAGTTATAGTGCATAGGCTCAAGCTATGGAAATAACTCCTCATTTTCTATGTTCCCACCTCTCATGTTCACTGTTCTTTATCACTATTACAAAAGGACATTAGCTGGCAGAAATCCAATATGATTGGCAAATGCAGAAAATATTACTTTAAACATGCAGGATGATTACATCTTATAGAACTGCACTTGGAATATTGGCATTCCTTATCAATAACATAATTTCAAAAAATTGAAAGAACTGAACTGAAAACAGACTGGAAACCTTAGGGATCACCTCATCTGAGCCCACCATGAATGTTGAAAGTGAGTCTGGGCAATGACTTTCTGTTCATTTAGCTTTACTATTCTTTATCACACATGTGGGTAATATAACCTTGGAATAAATTATGGAATTACAATGTTTACCTGAAAATAAAGTTGGAAAAATTCACCAAGATACTGAAATGCATAAACTACTGTGTAGATAAGTTATTAATGTGATGTGTTTTCATGTCTTTGAAATATTAGATATCAAGAATTTTCTTAGAAAATTTAAATATTTAAGCTCCATGTTTATTAGGTCTTAATATTTTAGTGGTATTGTTTAAAGTTTATTTTTTTTCCAGTCTTTGTTATGGGTATAATCCATCACTTATTTTCTGCCTTCCAACCCTATTCCTTCCTCAATAGAACAGGAGTTGACGGACTTGGTGGTGTGGGTGACTGGAGCATCCAGTGGGATTGGCGAGGAGCTGGCTTACCAGCTGTCTAAACTGGGAGTTTCTCTTGTGTTGTCAGCCAGAAGAGTGCATGAGCTGGAGAGGGTGAAAAAAAAATGCCTAGGTGAGTGAACCTAAAACAGCAGCTGTGCTTCCTAGACATGAGGCAGACTGCAAACTCAAGTGCAGCCTGGGAATGGCAGAGGGGAGATGGGCTTCTCCTGCCAGTGCACCCTGGCTCCAATGCTCCAAGTGCTGGCCCCTGGCCCTTTTCTCCTGTCGCATCTTAGTTGGCTTCCCTTAACCTTTCCTCATTTTGTCAGCTTTCTACTCCTTTTGCACTGACTCTTGACATTAGGAAGTGACTGTCTATTCTGTCCAGTGCTGGTGACTTTTTAGTGACAATGTGACTTATATTTTGTCTTCTGGAAAGAACAGTTTGTTGGTTTGTTTGTTTGTTTCTTTTTTTTTTTTAAATAACAGTTTGTTTCTTATCCATGACATTCATGTATGTAACCACTGAAAGTGGGTAGGATGGATCCTTACTCATTCTGCTAAAATATTAGATATTATTTCCACAAGGGAGCATGTAATATTCTATTGTGTGTGTGCATATTATATATATATATAAGTTTCTTATCCATTCATCTACTAAAGGACACCTAGGTTGGTTTTGAAGTTTTGCTATTGTGAATTGTGCTGCAATAAGCATTGATGTGGCTGTGTCCCTGTAGTATGCTGTATTTAAGTCCTTTGGATATAGACTGAGGAATGGGATAGCTGGGTCAAATGGTAGTTCCATTCCCATTTTTCCAAGCAATTTCCACACTGCTTTCCAGATTGGCTATACGAATTTGCAGTCCCACCAGCAATGTATGAATGTGCCTTTTTCCCCACATCCTCTGATAAACCCAGCCTAATTCCCTCTTAAGATTGAGAGCCATTTCATCACAAAGGCATGAAAAGTTAATTTCGGCTTTATTATAAATTACTGCAATTTCTAAACTTGGTTGGAATGGCTGCTCGTGCCTTGAACTCATCCATGCCTGGCTTTCCCTGACTAGATAACAACCCTCTCTGAAACCTTAGCAGTGCCTCAAAAATTCTGGTGTTGGGATCTAAATTTACTCCCTAACTTGAAATTTTGAACCATTTAGATAATTAACCTACTATCTGCCTTTTTATTATGCTTGTCAAAATCCTGTTATCTGTAAGTTTTCAAGACACCCCCCTTTTGCAACTTTTTGTGCTATAAAACCATGCTTCTAGAGAGCTGGGGTACTGTCCTCTAACCCAAGGATTTTGGGAGAGACAGTCCCAGCCAGTTGGAATTACACCTTGCTTTAATTTGATTTAAAATTGGAGTCAGTGATCTTTGCGTCATGGTTTAACATAAGCCACCTGAGAAAGTAAAGTCTAGAATAATTAGTGAAGAACAAAAGACAATGTCAGAGTTAGTTCTAAAGGGATGGAGCACCTGATAGGTCAACTCCACACAGGAGCTAGTGCTAGACAATTAGAAAATGGCCCCTTTGGTTTATTTAAGGGGGCACATTAAAGGCAAGGATAAGGTTTGGGGGAGGAATCTTGCTTTGTGATTTCTTGAAGTCAGCAGGCTGATTGGCATCTTGGCAGGTCACACCCATGTCAGAGGAGCTGTGCTTCTACAGCACGTCGCCCCATCTCTGGTGCTGCATGGGACCTTTGACAGAGCTGAATAAGGCTCACAATGTGTCTGGGCAGTCAGCCAGAGGAAATGTCTACTGGAAATTCCCAGACACCAAATTCTCCTATTCATTAGGCTTCCATGTTCAATGTGGTCCACACTCAGCACACAGATGGTTCTCGCCACCAGGGTGTGTGCTAAACTGAGAGTAGCAAGGAGCATAGTGGATCTATGCCATGCTATCCCCACTAATTTTTAAATGTCTCTATTTAGGCAATGGCAATTTAAAAGAAAAAGATATATTCATTTTGCCCTTTGACCTGGCTAACAGAAGTTCCCATGAGGTGGCAACTAAAGCTGTTCTCCAGGAGTTTGGTAGGGTAAGTAGCAGTTTATATTCACAAAGCATTAACAACATTGCTCTGTCTGGCTTTGAAATAACCAGAAAGGAAGGATATTTCCATCTATGGTGCTTTCATTGTAAGAACTTTAGGCACATGAGGTGAGATCAGGCCTATGAGTTGGGCCAGTTAATCACTGAGTTTATGAATTTAGGTAATTAATAATTTTTACATCATATCAATTACTAATTGCTCCCTGTAGACAGAAAGAAGGTGCTATTATAATTTTTTGACATTTATTATTTTCTATAAAAATTCACGTAAAATGGGAGTACCGTAGTTGCATTGTGATTACTTTATTCTATTATGATTTTGTTATGTTTTTACTACTAAATTCTATAAATATAAGACTGTTTCATTGGTTTTTCATGTTAATGACATAAGCAACCATGACAAGGAATTCTTTCAATCCATCCATAGGATAACCTTAAGCATCTCTTTTCTGGTTTTATTTTATTAGATTGATGTTCTGGTCAACAATGCTGGAAAAGCACACTCTTCTTTGATTGTGGATACCAAGATGGATTTCTTCAAGGAGCTAATGGAGCTTAACTACTTAGGAACAGTGTCCTTGACAAAATGTGTTCTACCTCACATGATTGAGAGGAAACAAGGAAAGATAGTTATTGTGAATAGCCTTGTGAGCTCTGTACCTATACCAATAGCCAGTGGATATTGTGCCAGCAAGCATGCTCTTCAGGTAAGCCTGCTAAAACTCAACTTTGATAAAAATTGACCCAAATGAGGAATATGACTATCCATGGAACTAGGCAATAATGTGGGGAAACAGAAATAGGAGAACTTTGGTAAAAGATATCCCCAGTACATGATTAAAAAAAATAAAAATAAAAGACTTGAATCACAGGTGCTACAAACTGTCCAACAAGTATATATTGAACACTGATACTATGCCATACACTGAAGCAGATCCTGGGAATATAAAAATGATTTTGCTCTTAAAAAGCATATATAATCTAGTCAGCATGTCATCCTTCACCTTATCCCTATTTCTACCTCATCCTCATGGTAGACTATGAGTCCTCTGCTCCATTCTTCTACACAGATTTCAGGATGTGCTTTTTTCTCCCATTACTGTGACTTCTTTTCCTTTCCCTTTTTACTTGCTTTCATGAAAGTGAAAAAAGATACTGCCAGCTGGTTGCTTAGTCCTGGGCCTCATATCCCTACTGGGAAAAATCCAGATTCTGTCCACATGGGTTCTATTGAAAAAAGAAATCTTAGCAAAGGCAAAGGCCAGAAAAAGAGCTTCATTTGAGTTTCCTAACTAATGCTGTGTAAGTGTGGATATAAAGAACATAGAAGGCAAATCGGAGGAGAATGATTAAAGCAGACCCAGAATATAAAAGTAATACTGTTGAAGGTCAGTTTGAATTAAATGTTTCACTGTTGGAATAATAAAAGGCAATAGCTGCATGGTCACCTCACTCTCATGAGAACATGAGACTTTGGTTCATTAGGACATTTGTCTTTTCATTAGAGATCAGAAATTTTCAGTGGGTGATGATATGGAATGCAGTACTTATGATTTTCTCCTGTTCAGCAATGGGCTGTCAAATCATCTCTTAGAGAAACTTGGGCAAACCTCAGGTGGGCAGATGTGGCCAGTGCCAGTAGTCTCATAAGATGTGCAGGATGCTCCCAGTAAACCACAGATGAACTGTCTGGCCTGCCTCCAAGACTCTCTGTTAATACTAGATTTGATCTTCTGATATGATGTGGTAGATTGAGACTCTGGTTAGTATTACCATTAGTTGAACACTACTTTCTTTGTGAAGAGCTCAATTTCTTCTAAGATTTCTAGCAGGTCATGAAGTGAATATGTTTCACTGAAAAGTTTACATGTTATAGTAGATGGTATTTCCAACAAGAGGTTTGTACCATCTTAAGAGACATGTCTCAGTGTTTGATGAGTGGCTCGCTTGATGTCTTTTCTGCTTTTACTATTGAGAGGCAGAATTTAAAGGTTTGAGAGCTCTTCATTTATTTACAAAGCATTCATTTCTCACAGGCACTGTGTCAGTCTCAGATGGCAGGAACCCTCCGAATGCTCATGAGGCCCAGGATTAATCATGCATCTCATAGTTTGTTAGGGGTTATTAGCATTTAAGAACTGGTAACTGAATAATGATTTTGGATCATATGTGAGTGTACCATGGTCAACAATAGTTAACCTGGCTTTATAACAATGTAGTCTTTGAAAACTCCTAATTTATGAACAGAGATGAAGAGAAACAGATTTCTGTTGATTCCCTGTTGGTTTAGAAATGACCAGTTTGTTTAAGTCTAGAAGGTTTAACTTGTTTCTACAAATGTCATTCAGTAGATGATCATATTACAATTTTAAGTGGCTAGGTACATGTTTGAAACTAAATCATCCTGTTAAGGTAGTAATATCAATTGGAAGATTGGATTCTTTCTCCATGATGAATTTCTGTGCAGCATTGATCCCTCCGTACTCCCTATTGCCCCAAACACTGGTACTTTAGATGACTCTAGTGAATAAAGAGAAAGCTCACTCTGGTGATTTCTGGAGAACATGCACTTGTTTTGGAGCAGGGAGATGAGGATTGCTATGAAGAGGGTGTATCAGAACCTACTGGGTTAGTTTCTTGCTAACTATAAAAACCGTTGATGGCAAGAGCCACTATTACCAGGGTAGCAAACTGCTAATACCTAGCAAAAATTGAGAATGTCTTTCCTGGATCAACCCTGGACTCACAGTGAAAAATGCCTAACAAGTTTGCATGATTACACTACTTGTCCTTTACTCAGGCATTTCAAAGCATATTTTGAGAAATCATGAGATATAAGATTATAATTAATATTATTTGCCTTTTTGATTATCTTGTCATTTTTTTTTCTTTTTTTCTTTTTCCCTTTGTGTCTATTAGGGTTTCATACATAGCCTCCAAATTGAACTTATCAAACATCCAGGCATAATAGCTTCTAACATTTGTCCAGGACTTGTCCATTCAAATATTAGAAAGAATATGCTAACTGAAGAAGTCACAAAGGTAAAAATTTCTAGTAGTTTAATAATTTTAATGATTTACTAGTTATATGCTGGTGTTATATTATTATTCTTTAGTATTTTTATGTCAGAAACATTTTTCTTTGGTGGTACCTGGGATTAGAACCCAGGGCCTTGAGACTCTGGTTAGTATAGTTGGTAGATGCAAGACAAGCATTCTACCAACTGAGCTGTGTCCCCAGCCCATCAGAAACTTTTTTATGGCCCCAAACTTAACTGGCATGATGAAAATTGTTAGTTAGCTGGAATTGTTAAAGATAGCATTGGTATCAGTTTCAATAAGGCTAAAGAAATTGCTAATATTCATAAGTAGGTTGCCATTGTTTGTTTGCTATTATGTAATAGGATTTTTAAAAACCTATTTAGAAACACCATTTATCTTCTTTAATTTTATCTGCATGGCATCAATTTTTTTCCACATTAGTTGTACATAATTTTGGGATTTGTTGTTACACGTTCATACATGCACGCAATATAATAATGTAATTTGACTAGTATTAATCCCTAGCATTTTCCCTCATGGTCTAAATTTTTATGTGATTTCATTTGCTGTATATATACCACAATAAGTTTATTTTTATTACTAAGGTGATAATTATATCATCCCTCTAAGATTAAGTAATTTTAATTAAAAGAGAAGAAACTTATCTTTTAACCAGCCCATATACTCTTATCTGATAAAACATATGATTCCTATTAATATTTTTGAAATATTACAAAAATAGGACAGGATGTGGCTCAGTGAATGAGTTAGCATGCAAAAGACCACAAGTTTGATGCCCAACATCAAATAAAACTTAAATATGAAATATTGCAAAAGTTTAAAACTACTATTAGAGTCTATGGGGACTTCTAAGGGAAATGAGACCTCACTAAAGGATAAACACAAACTTGTTGTTCTCTTGTTTTTTCTAACTTAAATATTTTATGAAATAGCTTGGGAAACTATCCAGCATTCACTTAATTTTAAATTTTTTATTAGACTGTCGGCCATAATACGACTCAGGTGCGCAAAATGGCTACTAGTCGTTGTGTACGGCTGATGTTAGTTGCCATGGCTAACAATTTGAAAGAAGTTTGGATTGGAGAACAACCTTACTTGTTGGTGGCATATTTGTGGCAATATGTGCCAACGTTGGCCTGGTGGATAATCCACAAGTTCTGGGAGAAAAGGATTGATCTCTTTAAGAGTGGTGTGGTAAGAGCAACTTAAATATTTCTTAATAAAATGTACCTAATTTATAGGAAAGTATGAAATCCTACAGTGAATAAAACTTTCTTGCTACCTTTCCACCTATTTCATGATATTAACATGAAGTGTATAAAGAAGTACTTGAATTGGAGACTATCCCATTAAGTAAGCCAATCTCCCAAACCCCAAGGCCAAATGTTCTCTTTGATAGGCGGATGCTGACTCACAATAGGGGTGGGCGTGTTCACAAGATTGGACAAGGCGGGGTGGGGCGTGGAGGGGAGGGGAAATGGGAATGGGAGATAGTAGAATGAATCAGACATAACTTTCCCTTGTTTATGTATGAATACACGACCAGTAGCTCCACATACTCCTTAAATATATAATGCATCAAAATACATTTTACTTTCATATATAACTAAAAAGAACAAATAAAAAAATTTAAAAAGTATTCCATCCCCAAACATATCTGAATGTTTACTGTAAATTTTGGCTAGTCTTAGATAAATGACTTTTGTACCATTTGGTAAAATCAAACCAAAGTTTGCCATTTTTTCTTCTACACTTACTGTTTGATCAATATATGTGTCCAAGTGCTTTTTCCCCACTGGCTTTCCCCAGCAAGTCCTACCCATTCTACCAGTTTCTCAGGTCAGGGGTCACCTTCTTCTTTTTTAAAAAATATTTTTTTTTTAGTTGTAGTTGGACACAATACCTTTTATTTGTTTATTTTTATGAGATGCTGAGGATCGAACCCAGGGCCTTGCACGTGTTAGGTGAGTGCTCTACCATTGACCCACAACCCCAGCCCAGGGGTCACCTTCTTGAAGTGATCCCTTGCCCTTCCCTCCCACCTCTCTTCAGGACTAGGTGCACCCCAGGCCCTGTGTTCTCTTCTGTCAAAGCACTGATTGCACTAGACAGGTCCATGCACACTATGTTGGACATGCTCCTTTTACCTAGTTACTGGAGTACTCTGCACATCTAACATGTGCCTATTGTTACCGCTGTTGGCCGGTGACGAGTCCTTGCTTCCCCAATGTTGAAGAATAACACCAAAGAAGCACGCCGAGGCAAGGTCAGAGTAGAAATTAGAAGTTTATTAAAGGACAGCAGAAAAGACTTCTCCCAGAGGAAGAAGGGGACCCAAGAGGTGGAATCCGTGGAAGTGCGGTTGTCTCTCCATTTTATAGTTTCTTTCAGTGATGGAATGTAGGTGGGAAGGCCCGAGGGGTGGGACACAGGTGGGCCAAAGAAGTAGTCTGAGCAGGAAGGACTTCATTAACACTTCTTTGGGATGCACTTTGGCCTAGGGCCTTTTCAGGACTTCATTAACATTCCATGAGTTGTCCTGCGTTTCCTGGAATCATTCTCAGCATGGCCTCCATTTTAGATTTCACTCGGTATTAGACCCGATTTATCTAACTACACTGACTACCTAACTTTAAATCTGGCTTCACTATGGCCACATCGTTGGAAAAAGCTGATTACTCTCTTTAGACCTCTTTGCTATAGCAATTTGTGGAGTGATTCATTAACTGGTTGATAACAATTGTGACCATCAGAAGAGTTTAATGTATCATTTGAACAGCAAATGTAAGGAGTCAATCTCAAAATTAAAGATTATAATTGTGCAAAGAAAGGTAAATGTTTTAGATGTATTTTATTGTTTGTTATTTCTTTTTGATATTTTATTACCTTGATTTAGAACTCAGTGAATACAGATTGACATAAAAAAGCAGAATTATCAAGTAGGATCATACTCTATATGTCACTATATAATCTGCCACTATTTCAAGCAATCTACTGAAACACCTAATCCACTTGTTACACATTTAATTTGTTCCAACGTTTTGCAGGCCATAAAAATGAATTACTGGGGAAAACACCAAAATTTGACAAAATGCTTAGGGATTGTTATGAAATAGTTTCATAATGCACAAAAATCCTAGAGTTTAAAAAGTCATTAAAGGAGTTTTTCACTGTCTACTGCTTTGTAACATGGTGCAGTTTGATCAGGGCCAAATAACTTAAAACTGTTTTGGCAGTGCTGGGACTCAGTAGTACAGGATGGTTCCTTGGTAGAGCTTGATCAAAATTATACCTAAGATTTCAATTTGGAGCACAGTAGATTTAATAACATTGAGCCCAGTTATAGATAAGAGTTGGGAGGGAAAGGCCACCTTTCCAGAGAGGAAGCATAACATCCTGTCTAGAGCACAGAGCCTAGTGCTGGACTACCTGGATTCAAATCCCAGCTCTACCCACCCTTGACCCTTGACCTCAGCAAGTCACTTCTCCATAGCTCAATCTCTCCATATGGGCAATGGAGATTAGTGATTAGTACCTAGTCACAATATTGTTATGGATGTTAAACAAGTTATTATACAAAACACTCTCAAGTATAGTCTGGATTGTTATAAATGTTAGCTGTTGTGATTTTCTATTCTTTTCAATTCTGATTTTTTACCATAAGATATTCCTCTCTAAGTATCAATGAATTTTTAAAATTATAACTGAAAAGTTAAAATTTTACTTATGGAAAATGTATAATGTGATGATTTGATATATGTATATATTGTAAAATAACTACCACAATTACACTAACACATCTATCTCCTCCCGTAGTTTTTAATCAGCATAATGAGAACAATTAAGACCTACTTTTTTTTTTTTAATCACATTTCACATATATTACAGGTGCAGTGGCACACACTTGTTATCCCAGCAAATTGGGAGGCTGATACAGGAGGATCATAAGTTCAAGTCCAGCTTGGGCTACTTAGAGAGATCCTTTCTTGAAATAAAAATAAAAAGGTCTGGGGATGTAGGTCAGTGGTAAAGTGTCTTTTGGTTCAATCCCCAGCACAAAACAAACAAACAAACAGACAAACAAACAAATAAAATATACAGTACAGTATTGTCAACTGTAGTTGCTATGTTGTATATCAGGTTAAAATTTTCAAGTTATACAAGTTATTCTCTTTTAAGTGAGAGTTTACATACTTTGATCACTATCTTCCTGTTACCTTCATCTTGCAGTCCCTGATGATCTCAGTTTTAATCCCCTGTCCTCACCACCCTGCCTTCAATTGTGACTTTTTTCATTCCAAATATACATGAGATTATATGGTGTTTTTTTCTATCTTGATTATTTCACTTAGCATAATGTCCTCCACTTCATCTTTGTTGTCAGAAATGAGAGGATTTACTTTATAATGGCTGAACAAAATTCCATTGTGTATGTATGTATGCATATTGTGTATACATATTGTATATGTATATAGGTACACATACATGTGTATATATGTATAAGTATATGAACATATACTCCAAAAATGAAAGTCCACAACTGGGGGGTGACTGTATCTGTTTGGTTCCCTCACTATAGGCTGAACATATAAGGCTATCCAGTCATGGACTTTCAGTGAGATAAAAACTGTGAGCTAAAAAACTCATTTTTCTTTCTATTGTAACTAGCTTCAGTTATTTTCTTATAACATGAGAAAGTGGACTAATACATACTGAGAAGTGGAATTTTTGAAATCTATTTTTATTTTTTGAGGAATCCTTACTCTGTTTTTCATAATCCCTGTGCCACCTTACATTATTAATGTTTTCAATAATAGGGCATAGGAAGAATATATTATAGAAGTGAATTTTTGTTTACAGAATAGCAACCTTCAAAATATAAATATCACTCTATAAATCCAGCATCTGATCACATCTAGTCTTTTCTAAAAGATAGTTTTTTGTTTCTTTATCCATCTTGACTATACTGCTTATCACAGGGTCTTATTCATTAATCATTTTTTTCAAAATGGAAAACTGGACATTCTCTCATTTCCCAACATCATTTCCTGGACAAAAGACCTCATTCTTTACCCCAAACCACAGAACAAAACTACACTGAATACTCTGTCCTATTCTTTGTATTTATTAGGGCAAGTAAGTGTAGGTAGGATATGCCAATCTAGAAAAGTATTATTAAGATAATTTGGTTTTAAGAAATGGCAAGAGCACATATTAGCCAATGGCATTTATGCTAGGTAGAGGAACTAATGATGCTAAGCATATTAGAGAGATTTATATGTAGATATGAAATTTTGGCTATGACTTTAAATTCAAATTAAAGCAATTGCCCAAGGCTTCTAAAGATTCTTTTTAAAATTTTTATTAATTCTTTTTAGTTAAATATAGCATTAGAATTCATTTGGATATAAGTATAGAATAATTTGCTCTAATTCTGTCCCTAGTACTCCCATTTTGCTCCTCTCATCCATCCCCCTGTTCCCTTCCCTGTATTGATCTTTCTGTTATTTACTTATAGTTTTAAATAATATCTTGTGGATATACATAATTGTGAGATTCACTGTGCTATATTCATATGTGTATATATGAAAGTTAGGTCAGATTCATTCCATGTTCTTCCCTTATCTGGTTGGTCCTCCATCTTCCTCTACTCCACTGATCTTTCTTCTATCTTTTATCCTTATTTTGGACTAGATTCTGTATATCAAGGAAACATTTGACCTTTGACTTTATTGGTCTGACTTATTTCACCATAGTCTCCAGTTCCATCTATTTACCAGCAAATGCCATATTTCATGCATATTTATGGCTGGATAATACTCAGTTGTGTAAAACACCGAATTTCTCTTCTCTATCCATTCAACTGTTGACAGGCACTTAGCTTGGTTCCACAGCTTGGCTATTGTAAATTGTGCTTCTATAAACATTGATGTGACTGCATCCCTGTATTATGCTGATTTTAGATCTTTTGGATACCTGCAAAGAGAAGAACTTAATTGTCAAAACTGGGACAAATGCTGGGTGGTAGCTCAATGGCAGAATATTTGCCTAGTACACAAAAGGTCCCAGACTCCAACCCAGGAGTAGAAAACATACACATTCAATAGAAAACATACACACCTCCACACACAAACGTACACAAAACACATACATTCACACACACAAAACCCTGGAAGAGGGACTGAATCAACTGATTCATATTATTGTCATTTTTTTGCAGGATGTCTCGAAGACAAAATATAAATGAAAAGAGTGCTTGCAGTTTGAAGGACAGAAGAAAGCAAAGTGGAAAACATATAAACAGCATTTTATGCTAAGAACAAAAATTGAAGGCTAAATGGTGATTTCACTGTTTGATGCAACTTTTCTTTCATCATACAATGAATAAAAAATAAAAGACTTCCATGAATCTTGCAAAATAGTACTAACACATAATACGTTCTTGAATAAAAGAACATCTAAAAATACTTACGCATATATGCTTAAAATCTGGGTTATCAGAAAAATAACCAAAGAATTATAGTAATCCATTTAACAGATATCTTAGTCCATTTGTGCTTCTGTAATAACATACATAATTTATAAACAATAAAACTTATTTCTGATAGTTCTGGAGGCTGGGAAGTCTGGGATCAAGTTACTAGCAGAATTGTTGTCTGGAGAGGGCTGATGTCCATCCAAGATGGTGCCTAGTTGCTATGTCCTACAGAGGGGACATAGAAGTGTGGGAAAGGCCATAGAAGCAGGTACCTTCATCAAGGCTTTTTATGTGGGCACCTATTCACTGTCATGACTCTGTCATCTAAAAGCCATGCTCTTACTACTATGGCATTGGTGATTAACTTTCAACACGAATGCTGGGTGAAACAAAAACATCCAAAGCATAGCAATAATTGTAAGGACTAATTCACACGAAGCAAAGTGCTGGGTAATGGGCAGATATAAAGAAGTATTTTGAATGATTCTACCTCCAAAATGCTTTACCTCTTTTAGTAGTGTGGACAGGTACAGATGACTGATTTGAAGAAGAGCAGCCATGATTCATTAAACACCTGTAATATGCCATTTGCTATAGTGGGGTGCTCAGTATTAGTTAACTCATTTATTCCTCATAACAGCCACTAAGGTAGATGGTATTATTTACCTTTATAGACAAGATGCACAAAGGAACTAGTTGTAACTTTCCAAGGTCATAAAGGTAGTAAAGGCTGAGATCAGGATTAGATTCAGCTCAAGAAGTCTCCATTGGCCACTCCTTACTACTATTAGAATCAATTTTACTTTTAATCTTTAGATCCTTGCAGCAGAAAACAAGCATAGGCCAGGAGTAATGGAAGAAATACTTAGTCCTTTTTTTTTTTTAACCAGCAGTTCAAATTTGAGCTTGAGCCAAAGTAATATACATAGAATAACTCTAGAATAGTTGTTGGGCACAGTGGTGGTCAACTCAGTGCTATCTTTGTGAAAGGGGGAAGGTGAGATGTGGTAGAGTACACTATGAGAAACAACAGGTAGAAACAGTGGAATAAATGCAAACACATAAACTCTAGCATGAACTATTCACGTTCACACTGGAATATATGTTCATGGAACCCTCTGCTCATTTTGCATGAAAGTGTGAAACAGATACCCACAAGAAGAATTATAAAGGTATGATGAAAGTTGCTTAGGATGGAAGGCTAATATGGATTCCCTATGGAAATAGAATATAATGAGCAAGAGAGAGGTCTTGCATAACCAGTGATGAAAATGAGTTTATGATTTATTGAGTACACCACACTTAGTGGTAATACAGAATTTCAGAATGCAGCAAAATGTATTTGTCATGTGGCATGATACATTGAGAGGATGATGTGGAAGCCCTTCATGGGAAAGGCATGTGTTTCTTTCAAAGCTGAGCCTTGAAAGAAGGGAAGTGAGACAGCTGAAGAGAAGCTTCAGATAGCATCAGTTTTGTTTTATGCATCATCGAATCCCAGTGTGTACCTGGCATCATGTCTGCTGCTGGTTAGGGTTATTTTGAGAGCTTGTAAGGTAAACATTCCTTGTCTTCAGTATGTCACGAATGACAACAAAGATTGAGTGGGATGCAGCTGAAAGGAAAAGTAATGTGATTGATTTGTTCAACTTTTCCAACCAAAGCAGCGTAGAAGAGGCACATATAAGTTAAAGTATATTTGAAAGTTCATTTGTGTAGTATTTTTCTATGGCGTGAAATAATAATAATAATAATAATAATAAGGTGATGATTATATAATAATAGTATAAGCATAATAACTAGAAAAATGTCTTTGAAAAATACTAAACATACCCTCTTTCTTCCTTAGGCTCTTTATTTTTATTTTTTAATTTGTGAAAAACTTAAACATTTAAAAAATTCCAGAAAACCAGTAATGGTATTGGTTGCTAAAATTGAGGTCATTTTTCATATGAAATTTAGATGTCCATCCAGTCTTTCAATTTTTTTCTTGAGTTCTAGAATTTCATGTTAAATTAGATCCATATTAGAAATCATATTAATCAATTGTGGTTGTCTTAGTCTGTACTTGGTGTTATAACAAAATACCTTAGAATGGATAATTTCTAAAAAGAAGGTCATTTCTCACAGCTCTGGAAGCTAGAAGTCTAAGGTTAAGACTCAGCAGATTTGGTGTGTGAAGACTGTCTCTCTGCTTCACAGATGGTGCGTCTTGCTGCATCTTCACATTGGGTGGTAGAGAACATTTTACCCTCACATGGTGGAAGGAAGAAACCAATAGATCCCTCAAGTATTTTTATAAGGGCACTAATCCTACTCCTTAAGGCCCCATCTCTTGATACTGTTGTACTGGTGATTAAGTTTCAACATGAATTTTGGAGAAATACATACATTCAAACTATAGCAGTGATCCTATTAAGATAATGAAATACTGATGTTGGAAAAAATATTAAACATCCACTTAGTTGATCCTCTGGCTTCTACCTGCATGTTAAACAGCAGGACAGTGGTCCCACAAAAAAGCAGAGGTTACCCCTATAATAGGAATCTGGCTGGGGTAAAGCCCAAGGGCATGTGGAAGAGGAAGCAAGATGCTCCTGCTATGGAGAAGTATCTATGCGGAGGCTGAGGAAGTGGTGGAGCTTGGTTTTTATACTCTGCTTTTCAGACTTGAACTGATTAGTTTGGTCAATATTCCAGTCATGTGAAAACATTTTGGGAAGAATCCATTTCCCAAAGTGCCTAACTAAGGGTTTTGTTTAGCTTGATATTCAAAGTCCTTCAAAATCTGCTCCCACTAGCACTGATTTCTGAGAGACAGTGCAACTGGTGTTTTGGAATTGGGGCTCTGGGACATGGCAAAGGTCTGATAGGATCTCAACTTTGTCATTTATTAGCTATAGTGACATGAATAATGTATGTTTCAGCATACGGGATGAAAAAGGCAATATCACAACAGACACTTCAGAAATACAGAAGATAATCAAAAATTATTTTGAATCCTTATACTCCAATAAATTAGAAGATAGTGAAGGCATAGATAAATTTCTTAAGTCATATGATCTGCCCAGATTGAGTCAGGAGGATATAGACAACCTAAACAGACCAATATCAATCGAGGAAATAGAAGAAACCATCAAAAGACTACCAACTAAGAAAAGCCCAGGACCGGATGGGTATACAGCAGAATTTTACAAATCCTTAGGCTCTTTAATCAGTGGACCAAAATAGAATAGGCAGCTTTTTCTCAAAGTCATTTTAGAGGAAGAAAAGTTTATTCTGAAAACTCATGTTTTCAGAGGTTCTATTCATGATTGACTGACATCATTACTGTGGGCCCAAGTGAGACAGAGCATCATGGCAGAAAGTTGTGTTGGAGGAAAGCTGCTCACAGATTGGCAGCCAGGAAGCTCTGAGAGGGTAGGATGAGCCAGGGACAAATTACATGATTCCCAAAGAACTGCCCTGTGACCCACTTCATCCAGCCATACCCTTCCTTCCTTACAGTTACCATCCAGTAATCCACTCAAATTATTAATATAAATGGATCAAACCACTGATTGAGTTACGGTTCTCATAATCTAATCATAACATCCCTGAATTAACTCAGGAGGTTTTCAGGGACAACTCATATCGGAATCACTATATGTGTGTATCTGGGGACTAGAGTAAAGGAGACCCTTGCAGAAGGGGAGCACAGTTGACTCTTTCTGCAATCAGGGAAAAAAGAATTTAAACAGTCCAATATCAATATTTTTCAATACAAAGTCTTATTTGGTTATACCTCAAAGTCTAGCAGTTTCTTATTTCTAAGTGATGGCAGTGGTAATCATTTTAGTTTTCTTCATATTCTTCTTTATCTTTTAGATATTTCCTACAGAGAACATGTGTTATCATTTTAGTTGAAAATTTAATTGAGATGTCTAAAAATTTACATTGAGATCTACAAATAAAAGAGATCTGCAAATCTATTACTTTGTTTCCCCCAATGGTTCTATATTGCAAAACTGTCATATGAAGTCACAACCAGACTATGCTTCAATTGAAGCATAGATCATATTCAGATTTCTTCAGTTTTACTTGTATTCTTTCTCTGTGTGTGTATGTCTCATTCTTTGCAATCCCATTGTATCTGTAGGTTTGCATATCCTCCTCCCTGTCAAGGTACACAATAGTTCCTTTCCTATTAGAAGGATCCCCCTATTTCCTTTATATACTCATCTCTTTCCTCCCTTGTCCCACCCTCCCACTCTAGTTCCAAACTATGGAAACCACTGACTGGTCTCCATTTCTGAAACTTTATGTTAAATACATTAAGTAATTGAAAATATAGAATATTAAATAAAAGGGATAAAAAACGTCAAGATGTAAAAATATGTTAAATATTGGCATGTCTAATGTTAACATTGAAATGTTAAATAGGTAGACAGTAGGCAACCTTGCAGGATTGGCTCTTTTCCACACACAGCATAATTCCCTGGAGACCCATCAAGGTTGCTGCATGTATCAATAGTTTTTTTTTCTTTTTAGTGCTGAGTTGTATCCCAATCAGCCACACACCCGTGTACTGAGCTGCTTCATTTGTACATGAAACTGTTATGAACATTGACATACAACTTGGTTGGACACAAGTTCACTTCTCTGGGATAAATGACCGAGAGAGTGCAATTCTGGGTCACTTGGTGTTTTCATGTTCAGTTGTAAAAGAAACTTCCAGTGACTACTGAGTTTCTCTGTGTTCCTCCCCAGCACTTGGTGGTGTCATTTTTCATTTTCACCATCCTGAGAGTGACATCTCTTGAGGTTCTAATTTAATTTCCCTGATAGCTGATGATGTTGAATATCTTTCCAGGTGCTTATTTCTTTTTTTCTATGAGAAGCCTGTCCACAGTGATGACCTATTTTCTAATTGGGATGTGCATTTTTATTTAGTATTACATT